GAAGAACATTTCCAGGATTAAAGGACTATTGACCAAGCAGGATCTAGAAACACTAATTCATGCATTTTTCTTTAGTACAACAGATCGCTGCTACAGTGTTTTCATAGGTTTGCCAAAAATATCCGTCAGACAGTTACAGCTGTTCCAAGATGCTGCTGCTCATGTTCTCACTAGAAATAAGAAAGTAGAACACACCAGCTGCTTCTGAAGTCCACTATAGATCAGTGAATAGACTTTTTTTCCCCTTTTGTTAGTCTATAATTAAATGTATCATAACCTTAAAACAAAGCAGATCTGTTATCAGCGTATCTACCTCTCAGACCACTCAGGTCTTTTAGTTCCAGCCTACTCTGTTTTGTGAACTAGAACCAAACATGGAGAAGCAGCATTTAGTTCCTATGCTCCACTGATCTGAAATAAACCAGAAGACTGGAAGGCCTGAGTTTTTATGAATCAAAGTTAAAAACCCATTTCTTTAGAGCTTCCTTTGACTTTTAAAGTTGAAATGTTTATTGTTTATTACTAAAGTATTAGGTATTTTAAGGTTGTGGTCCAAATTTTTTTGTATGTTTCTGCTTTATCAAGTTTTTTTCCTTAATTAAATTTACTATATTTTTGTTTTATTATTAATATAATACTGTAATGTACTATAATATAATATAATATTTTTATTATTAATATTGTTCTACTTTATTGTTTGATTAATGTAATGCACAGTACATTGTCTTTTAACTAAATTGTGCAAAACAAATAAATTTGCTTTTGCCTTGCCTTTTTTGATTAAGATGATTTTCAAAGTTTAATTACTGTTTTGCACTTTTATTTCAAATGTCCATTTAAAAACAAATACTTTGCTGGCAGTGATAACTGAACAAAACCCATCACATACAGGGAAGGTTCAGAATTGACACTGAAACCAGAGATGGCACTCAGCTACCATTAAAATGCTATTTGTGGACATCAAGGTTTTTTGCCGCTAAAGGGGAGAAAGAGAGGTGGACTGAACCAGAGCTTCCAAAGTGAAGTCGAATGTAAAATGTCAAATATCAGAGAAAAATCGGCTTAACCCAGAATCCAGCTGCCTGCAGCATTTAGTCAAAAATAATGCAAAGAACATGACATGCAACAGCACACTAGTTGTGGCAACATTGGTCGTTCTCAAGTCCTCCATTAGATGCTCACCAGTCAGTTCAATATTGGCATCATTTTTTTCCTTATTAAATAATATTGAACTTTGCCTAGAAAATACAGTACTTACCAAAAAATATATATTTTTTTTAACCATTACACCCCTCATAGTTAGTAGTTTTACATGTACAAATCCTCTGTAATTTCCATTTTGAATGAATCTCATATAATCAAATTGAACAAGATTGCATTTTACCAGTCATAGATTTACCCCTCTGGCAACAATCAACCAGCAGTTTAATTTTTAGGAATAGCAGCTGCTGTTCTGTGTGTATTTAACATTATGTCAACCATTTATAACGATGCAGTTCTTACAGGAGTGTCCACTGTTTAATATTTCAGCCCCGTATCTCTATATGTCTTCCAACTGAGCAGCAGAGAACATGTTTATGACTCAGTGGAAGAAGATGGTCAAGGATCTGTGAGGCAGGAGGTTACATCTAATTTCCTTGAGCTATCACTAGATTCCAGCTGTCCTTCAAATACGGTAGATAGATAGAAAGAGAGGCCAAGAATGAGCTATTGAGTTCCAATGCAGAGACTTGAGTATGTACTTATTTGAAGACAATAATCTTTACAGCCCACACAGTTCAGTTTTTTGGCTCAAGAAAACATTACTGCTAAATGTTGACAATGAGATGACACATTTGAACTTGCCAGTTGTACAATTTTTTCATGGTTTTATTTATAGCTTGGACCCACATGCAGAAAAACCAATTCAGAGAGAAAAGGTTTAACAGATTTTATTTGAAGAGATGAAGCACGGTGCAGTGTTGATCTAAATTCTGCTTAGCCGGAACTGGAAGGTGAGGGGAAGACAAAGCGATTAGTTCTGGCTCAGTGGGAAATTTAATTTGTGGATTTGGAGAAGAGGATCTGGTTGTAGACTCACGTTTCCAGAGAAGTTGTATATCTTTGACTCCAATCGGTGTCCTGTATTCCAGTGTTAGTCTGATTTGGGGGAGGGCAGAACAGGGTTTACCTAGAACATGGTCGGTTGTAGGTGAAGTGAGAAACTGACTGCCACTCAGATTTCCTGCAGTACTTGAACGGGTCGTAGTGGAGATGATTCCCTTGCTTAGTGTGTAAACTCAATTTCCTCTCTGGGAAACTGGATCCAAACCTCTAGTTTGAATCCCCAGCTCAGTTTGAGGCCCAGTTGATCCTTCCAGGGAGTGAAGGTCCGAAAGATCCAGTTTGCAGGACTTCCTGCTGAGAGGCAAAGCCAAAAAAACAAAGTTTAAACTCAGGTTGACAAGAACTCAGTCTTACTCAGCAAAAACTCAGCTTGGCTAGAGTACCCAAAACTGGCAAACACTCTGGCGTCGAGGTAGTGACAATCAGCAGCTTAAGAATACTCCTTTAACGAGGAAACCATCAGCAAGTGTGTGAGGAGGCGGACCAGAACCAGGCGCCTCCTGTTGGAGGTAGGGAGACAAACAAAAAAACAAACACACAGACTGGAACCTTCCAGTACCAGAGTCCAGAGCAACTCTGCACCGTGTTTATCGCTTCAATAAAACCTGTCAAACCTTTTCCCTTGGTCTCTCTGTTTGGGCTTCTGCATTTTTGGGTCAGAACTTTGAAACACCATGACAGAAACATGTTTAAAAAGACTTTTGACAGTGACTACTGCAATGATTGTAGAGGGAGTACAGTTCAATCCAACTCAAGCAGTCTTTGGGCAAAAGGTGGTGCACATACTTGTCCATTGAAGGGAAACAACCGTGCAACACTCACCTAAGGTCAGTTTTAATATAACCAAGCAACATAACTGTAGGTGGAAGCCGGGGAAAACCCATTAATACATGGGGAGAACATACAAACTCCATGCAGAAAGAATCTGTGCTGGTATTCAAAACCAGGAGCTTCTGTCTGCAAGGCAGCGCTGTTACAAATTGCTCCATCATGCAGCCTGGGGGGACCAGTATTTCATGCAAACTTTTTTTGTATTTTGTTATTTTTTCTTTCATCACTATAAACAAAGTAATGCATCTTTAAATTTGTAGGGAGGTTCTATAAATGAAATGATGCAAACAATCTATTTTAATTTTAGCCTGTGAAGCAACAAAGTATAAACAAACCTTTAATGGAGCAAATCCTTCTGCACGCCTATGTACCTCCATCCATCTTACACCCACACTATGAGCTGTAACTTTTAAATCAAATTAATATAGAAAGTAGGCTGTTGTTATCAGTTTAATAGTTTAGGATCAATACATAAAAAACAGTATAAATAGAAGACACAGCAGAAGTTTTGGTAACCTGTGAAATTTCATCTCTTGGCTGTTTTTTATGGAGCTCTTTGACCCTAATGAGCTGGTGCAGTTGATAGTCTGTCCACATAACTCATTAGGAAAAGGCTGACGGATACAAAATTCAAAATTTATCAGTAATTTCACTCAAAAGAAATTAGCTCCTCACAGCTCAGATCATTAAAATAACAGATTTCCACTAATCAGGGAAATGTTGTTTGAGGACAGAGGGTCCATTTTAGGAAGTTTTAGATGTTATGTTTGCATTTTAAAGTACAAAAAAATGAAAGGATTTTAATGATAAAAGGGTATGCATACAAGGGAAGTGATCTTTGTTGATCCATTTCTCTTTTCAAATCAGATCAAAATCAGGCAGAATGGATGGAGAACATCTCGAAACATCTGTTTTTGATCCATTACTAATTGAATTTAGGTCTGGACTTTGACTGGGCCATTCTGACACATGTATATGCTAGGGTAACCAGACGTCCTCTTTTTCACGGACACGTCCTACTTTTCATACCTAAAAAAATGTCCAGGGGAATTTCAAAATCGGCGTGGATTTTGGTCGACTACAGTGCAGCAGAACCGAGCCGTCAGCACCGGAGTGAAGTAGGTTTGAAGTTGGATATTAAATAGTCAAGCTCCATGGAGTCAGCAGGATCTAGCAAACAGCTGAATTGACTGAAGGACTCCGATGTCGACCAGCGTCTCTCAGCTGCTCCCTCCTCCCACAAGCGGTGGTGCATTTAGGGACCGTCAACAAATTTGTTAAACCAAGCAGTCTTGAGAAACAAATATCAATAAATTCCTTATCTAATTACCAGCTAAGATGAAACTAATATAAAATAATGCAGATAGATAACATAAGTAAGGCACACTTGCTTTTATGCAATTTTAAGCTATTTTAAATTATAAGATATTTTTAAAGACAAAAGTTGGGACTTTTCTTCAATTGCTTCCAGGTCATGTGACCCACTCACTCATTCTTTGCGAAACTGTTTTACTACATTAGCCTGAGGAGGCACACTCATTTTTATTTCATTTTAAGCCTTTGAATATTTTTGCCTTACCATGGTTCCCGGGAACTACCGAAAAAATCTGATTGACAGATGACCATTGATATATGATTGGCCGAATGTAGGTGTACAGGCTGACGTATAACTAACTGGCCTGCATAAGATAATGAAAAAAAAAATAAATAAATAAAAAGTACAGATTTTAATAAAGGATTTTTCTTGAAAGAGAAATTTTTAAAATTTTGCGACAGTATGGTTTGACAAACAGTACAAATATATACATGTTTAAGCCAGAATGATTTAACATTTCAATATGATTTCCCTATGACTTTAAAGTACTTTCAGAAGTTTGTATTCTGAATGTGATCGGACTTTTACTTTAACAACAAACTGTTTACAAAAACACACTTATTCCTCATCTTTATTCCACTCTTCATTTTGTAAACAGTTGCACTACATTAGCGCTCCTCTCTCACTCTTCCCCGCACAGAATGAAATCCCTCCTCCTCCACCTCGGTTCTGACGCGCTGTGCGTAAAAGCGCTTCAGTCGCGTTTCTGTGTCCAGAGCTGACAGGAGCGAATCTGTGCCAGCAGCAGCAGCAGCAGCTGTGGAGGAGGTGGTTTAAAGCGCCAACTTCAGCCAGTCTGTGGCTGCTTCCCCTGAGGAGTCTCTGCGCTCTGAGGTCCCCAGCGTGGACATGAAGGAGGAAACAAACAGTAAAACTCCGATTGAAGCGCTTCTTCATGATATGGACTGAGTGGGAGGCTCCAGCAGCGCGTGGATTTAAACTCAACCCAGCTCTGGTCTCTGCTCTGATGTTTTGAATGGCAGCGGAGAGTGGCGTGGCTGTCCCCGGAGAGGAGCGGAGGTCAGTGTGTCGCGAATCACACCGCGGGCTTTAAATGTTCACACACATGCGGACACGCCGTCCCGGGAGGCGCATACATACACAAACACACGCGCACGTGTCTCATTTGGAGGGCAAGCGCGCTTTCCAAGTATTCCAGAGGAGGCGCGTGCGCGTAGGAAACAACGCACGTGCGCATTCTGTAGTTTAAATAACCAATGAGTCATTATATTTAGGAAAACCTCCTGATCCAACACATTTTGAGTTTAAACTTTTTGTATTTTATTTAGAATAAATGTCATATATAGTTTACATTATTAGTTGTATTATACCAAAATGGCTAAATCTCCAATATGTGATGGTTTTAAATTCGATTAAGATTTTTTTTATTGCATATTTGATTTGGAAACATTTAAAAAGTAAATTTTTTTAATTTTCTATCTAATTTGAAGATGTAATTTGAATAGACTGCAAACACATCTTTACTTTCTCTTAATAAAAGCATCCTGCGTTATAACAACCAAATTCTTTTTGAAATAATCTCATTAAATAAAGGACATACAATTTTAGTCTAACTTTATCTAAAAATTGAATTTGATGAGAATGATGATGAGAAAGCTATAGCCTAAACTAAAATGAATCATTGCAACTTTTAAACAATTCCTTTAAAGGAATGTAATTTCAGGAAAATATTCAATAATACAGTAATAATTTATACTGCATTATAAATAATACAGCACCTAGAAATATAATTTATATTGGTTCATTGAAGAAAAACAGTGAATACTAAACAAAATAAAATCACAACAGCCATAAAATCTCATGAATTAATATGGAAAGCTCTAAATCAATTTCATTATAAAATAATTGGCTCATTTTTTTGTATGTTTTAATACAATTACTGCTTCATATTCACTTTGGGAATGGATGGGATGAAGTAGTGACAGGATAATTAGGTAAAAACTTCAAGCTTTAATGATTTCATTAAGGAAACTGTGGAGTAATTTGTCCCCATGGGAGTTCTCTGTGTTCATACAGTCGGGGGTTACTTTTAAAAGCTGCCGTCTGTGTTCCCTGCTGCCATTGAACTCTGAGTCCTGGGCAAACAATCAGCAGGCAGGAGATGCAGGGTTTCAACCAGAGCCGATTTGCTGTTAAATGAGAGAGAAACAACAGCCTGTGATCGCCTGAGATGTTTGCTGCTGCTTATCCGCTTCAGAGATAAGAAGAGGCTGCAGTTTAATTATTAAGCCATCACATCCAGCTGGAACGTCCCCTCTCCTGCATGGTTCTGGTCCCCCCACCCCACACCCGCTTAGGATGATGTGGAGATACCAAGGTGCAGCATAATGTGTCTGTTCTCCAGCTTGGTCCTGCAGCTCCTTATCTCAGGAACAATCACATAATAACAGGCGTAATGAGGCGATGCATTTTCCTCCCAGCTGATAAAGTTACCCTTGGAGCAGAAGGTGAAGATATCAGTCGTCAGAGGTGAACTTTCTTCCTAGAAGGTGAACTCCTGGCTCAGAGAGGATGGGGGGAATTTTCAGCTGGATTATTTCTGGGTTTGGTTTGTAATCCAGCTTTTTGGTCTGTAGGACCTAATCTGATTAGGAAATCAATCAAAGAATTCTAAACAAATCTAAGGTAATCCAGATTGAAAAGCAGAGTAAGCGCAGCTGTCTCCATCAGACAGGTGAGCGGTGCTGCTTTTTGTTTCGCTGTAGAAGCAGCAGCAGAACTACAGCAGCACCAGTTTCTTGTAGGCTGTTATGCAGAGATTGTCAGGTCCAACATATTAAGTCCATTATACTCTCCAATTTCTTCTTCATCCTGTTTAATACTGGCAACTTCTATGTGCAGACGGTGCAAAATATCCACCAGTAAATCTGAAGTAGTTCAGAGTAAAATATTGAGTTTGGAGTTTCTTCCAGCTTTTCGGAGTAAATTACATCCCCTGCACTTGAACTTGCAGTAATCTTGCATCTCCCTGTGAAAAATGTCTTTAATCCCACTTGCTGTGACCTCCTGGGGGCCCTGAGGGAGAACGGGAAATTTGCATTTATGGCTGCCTGAGGGTGCGGTAACAGGTTGCGTTATTTCCCCCGATACCCATGTGCCAACAAGGCCTTTGCTGAAGAAGGCATTTATCAAAAGTACATTACAGAGCAAGACTTTTAAATCATTTTCTTGATGAATTCCAATGCCAAGGACTGACTTTGGCTGGTCACAGCATCAGTATATGAATTTCTGGAAAGGTTCTATGTACCTCAGATATGTAGATATCAGATATGTTTTTGGTTTAATTATAGCAAAGGAGGTTGCAGATTTTGGGTCTGGAAGCTCCAAAACCTGCGACATACAAGAGAAGAAAACCTTCCAATTAACATTTAATAGAAAATACAGGGAAAATGCAGCTTTATCCTCAACTCTAATGTGGTTGAAAGGTGGGAATCGTATTCACAGTGCTAAAAAATAAACAAGTGGCTGTAGAAATAGGAATCCCCTACAGATTGAAATATGTTGATGTTTCAATGTGATTTAAGGTTGAAGGTTAAAGGTGGTAATTTTTAACATCAATGCCAGCAGCCTCACCAAAGCAGATTGTTTGGCTTTGCAGTGCAGTGCGCTTCTGAATTTTACATTGATGTATTTATCGTTCTTGTATTCCAATCCTAGGTTGAGACTAATGTTGAAATAATTTTAATTTAGATAACTATAAAAAAAAAAACCTGTAGCAAAAAACAATTTTCTAACTTTTTTTTTGTAAGTTTCTTTCACATTTTCAGTCCAAGATCTTAGAGAGAGTTTTTGGTGATCTGATATTGATATCTGACATTGGTCCGATATCAGCCAAAAAATTTGTTTTAGAATATATGGCCTGCATCTAAAATGCTAGGATGCTGAAAGAAACACTGGCTTCTGTTTAAAATCCATGTTATCCATTAATGAATGGGTAAGTTCACCTTTACGGATACACCACACTACACAATAAGTAATAAAACTATTTATCATTCATACAGATATTGTGTCAAGTAACTGTCGGTAACACTATCGTGTTGGAAATCACATTCTTGATAAGCTTTCTGGACCATTTTGTGTGATGTTTTGGTAAATCCTACTCAATTGAAGTGGCTTCTTTTAGAGTCGTTAGTGATATTTTCATGTATTCCTGCTGGAAAATGTTCTTTCTTGCTTCCCAACAAGCAAAAATTGCTTGATAAAACATTGAAAAGATGACATGATTTACGTCCAAACAACGTCTACATTGGTTGAAAAATGGATGGTGAAAAGCTGTACTTTTCATATTGTTGAAAAGAGTTGCAAACCCAGTCTTGGACTAAAGTGGGACAAGACTGACCAAACATGGCACAATTTTCAACAACTCTTTCTGGACTAAAGACTTTGACAGACCAACCAGATTTAACCTAAAAACCAGTGTCTGAATGACGTCTGGTGTTTGGGGGTTATGTTGGACCTCACCTCAGCTTTCGAACTGTTGACCATCCAACCTTGTTCAGCAGGGTAAAATTTTGGGCTGATGTTTAAAATGGTGGTCTTATATTATATTAATCTGATAGATCAATCCTAGTGCGTGTATCGACTAACATATCTTATTCATGTCCTGTTCAATGTGGTATTCCTTATGGCCCTGTTCTGCTGATCTTGTTTCCACTTCATTCGCTTGGTTCCTTACTTGCATCCTATAAAGATATTGTCTACTATGCAGATGAGATTCAGTTGTTTATTTAATTCCTTCCATGTCAAGACTCAGAAATGCACATTTTACTCAAATGTTTGGGTTAAATTAAAAGCTGGATGATTGAAATTTGGCTTACATGAAATAAAAAGAAAATCTGAATGATAATGATGATGATATTTTGCACCTTAACAAATAACTGAAAAGATAAAATAGACCATAGTAGAACATAGGGTCTCTTGGCCTTTTGACTCAATCTTCTGTCAGGAACAAACCAGCAATTTAAGCCTGAGTCAAATATTTTCCCAAGGTTTCTCATTCTACCATTTGCAAAATATTCGAAACTTAGTCCAACCTCTTGTTTGTTTCAAAGCAGTTGTTTTGTCTCATCTGCATTAGTGCAATGTGATTAAAAAATGTCTTGTAAAATCCAGATTAGTTGAAGAGAGCACCTCCCACCTTTAAATGCCTTGTCTTATCTCACAAATGTAGGAGTCTTTAAAAAAAATCCCAAATCCAGTTGCTTATCCAAATCACCACTAAGTTCTAAAGGATTCTCTGTTGGGCAAAGACGCAACAGTCATGGATAGACATTACAGAAAATGTCCAATCATGACATTTTCCGTAATGGTGCTAATGCATTAACCAACATGTAAAAAAAAATTTCTTCCTTGGCAAAGGTCATAATTTTGTTAAACTAAACCTGAGTCATGTTAAAAGAAAAGACAAAAACTTGTCATTTTTTTGGTCATTCTAATATAAAACGTCAAAGCTCTTATTTTTCCATTATGAGCATCTTAAAACATTTTATTAATTTTAACTCAAGAAATTACTGAAAGATATTTGTTAGTGTTGTAATGTTTCTTCTCTAAACTCTCAGATTACTTCTCCTGACATCACAATAAAGGCGGGAATCCCTATAGCAACCACTGAACGACTGCGTCTGCTTCAGTGGTGAAATGCCATCATGGCATCTTTAAAAATGTTCTTTAATATTCATATTTAAGTAAAACAAAGTAGATATCATTTGAACTCATAATCTGTCAAAGCTTTTTAAAAAATTATTTTAATCTCTTGTTTGGTAAAAAAAAAAAAAGGTAATAAATACTGGAGAGCGTAAGAAATCCAGGTGTTTACTCCCCTTGAGTCTAACATGTGACAGGTCAGACAGTGACTGGTGACTGGCGTTGCCTCAGCTTGCAGGAACGTCGTCCTCCTTCTGAGGTGACGCCCTAGAGCAGCGAGCACATCTGTTCACAGGGTTACATAATCGGCCGAAAGCCTGCTGCTGTCCTGCTGCGCCGGGGTCTTGCTGCTTAGA